TTATCCCTAGACATGATCATATATGATAAAGTTGAGTTAGTGGTCCCCATTTCTTACCATATCCAGCTTGTCAACCTAATCAACCGTGCAATTGACGACATCAACCCCGAAATCCTAATCTAACGGACAAACAAAAGCCAAGTCATGGATCCGCAAGACACTGCAATCAGCCAATGGGAATCCACCATTACTGTATATAAACAATTCGCCTCCCATACCTTTCCTCCACCAATCCAAAGGGCCTTCTAATTGTCATTCAATTCCTCTATTCATTCATTCCTTCATTCTCTCTCAATGGCACCGAAGGCAGAGAAAAAGCCGGCAGAGAAGAAGCCGGTGACGGCGGAGAAGATGCCACCGAAGGCGGAGAAGAAGATCTCGAAGGAAGGCGGCCCCAGTGCCGATGGTAAGAAGAAGAAAAAGATTAAGAAGAGCATCGAAACATACAAAATCTATATATTCAAGGTTCTGAAGCAGGTGCATCCGGACATTGGAATTTCCGGTAAGGCCATGGGAATCATGAACAGTTTCATCAACGACATTTTTGAGAAGCTCGCAATGGAATCGTCGCGATTGGCTCGATACAACAAGAAACCTACGATCACTTCTCGCGAGATCCAGACTGCTGTAAGGCTTGTTTTGCCGGGTGAGTTGGCGAAACATGCGGTTTCTGAAGGTACCAAAGCTGTTACGAAATTTACAAGTTCTTAGAATAACAATAATGTTTCTCTCTCACTGTTGTTGATCGGAGAAATTATAGAGTTTAGTTCATCTGTTTTTTATTTCAATTTGTGAACCGATCTGTAATGGAATTAGGTTTATTAATGGAATTGATTCGCCAATTTTAAAGAAATACAATAAAACTATTTCGTGCATGGTTTTGTGTTGGTACTATTTCGTGCATCACAAGAGCATATTGCATAAAACCTGATTTGTAAAGTAGAATGACAAGAAACAATTGTATCAGTTCTTCATGACGTCAAAATTAATTTGAGCTTCATGCTGATGTCATTGTCCAGGTGCATGATCCATTGTGCATCGAAACTTTGCTATGTAATTTTAATCCAAGTCAAAGTTAATTCAATTTTAATCACAAATTTTACAGAACCCATAAATTTTCAATCATACATTTTATCAAAATCTACTAAAAATATGATTTTAATTTCCACCTTAATTCTATAATCTTTATACAACACACTGGCAGTCTTCCAAACGGGCAGACCATATATTAAAAATTGCATTGACAAACAAACATTTGTCACTTTATATTGATTCAACGTTGTAAAAGTAGTAAATGTAGTTTTTTCATGATCATCATAATATAGTATAGATCACCATTTGAGAAGTAGTAATATGAGCTTCATGGTTCACCCATTGATTGCTAGATGTGAATGAACTAGCGTCGTAAGTTCTCCACTGTGTAGTCTGCATACAGGTCCCTGCACACGAAGAAAAATATGTACCCAGTCAAACGACTACTGGCAACATCCAAAATTACAAGGGCAAGACATCGAGTGACAAATAACAAACTTGTGGCCAGTCCATTGTGTGTCCATGATCATGCGATGAAATCAATGATCTTCGAATAAAAGCCACTTGATTATAGGCAAAAAATTGTCAAAAGGACTGACAACGAGTTGTAGAGCTATATTTACTGCAGTAGCAAATAGTACATGCATCGTCAAAAACACGAAAGTGGAAGATATTTTCAAGTTTGCATATGTTAAGCTGAATGTACACCTTTTTGAATGAATGTTATACTTAGTAGGGAGAGTGAAGTTAGGTAATTTAATTTTCTTTGCATGTTTCCTCTTATAAATCTATAGGAAAGCAAAAATGTTGCCTGCTTATAGTTGTTTTTAGCAACATCTTGCATTGCAATGTTTAACTCATATTTTGAAACGGGAAAAGGGGAATGAATGATGTTCATCGCCACTTACATGGAATGCTGTATAGCTTCATACGCCTTGGTTGCTGGCAGAAAATCATCAACTGCAACATCCTTGTTCTCATTTTTCTTGTCTGATCAAGTGTTAAGAGAAAAATATTATTGGAGATGCTGCCCATTCAAAACAGCTTAATAATGAAATAAGAACTTTTCGGCAAAATAGAAAGTTTATGCTATATAGGATTTAAGTTCTATTTTGAAAGGATACAATCTTCAAAGAATCGGCGAATTTCAGCCAAACGGTGGGGTGGAAGCTCTTTAATGTCTGTGTAGTGCCGATATTCAGGGTCATCAGCACAAACAGCTATTATTTTGTCGTCTTGCTCTCCCTGTGTTCCAAAGCAAACTCATAATTCTCTGAACGATAAAATGGTACTATTTACATGTAAGATATAAAATGTACTTGATCAATCATGGGCATTAGGCCTATTGCTTTTGCCCTGAGAAAGCACCCTGGAACAACTGGTTCCTGTTTATGCATCCAAATAGTTAGGCATCAGGAAAAAGTTGCATACAAGAAAAAACAGTGTCATTGAAAGTTAAAAACGTTTCAGAACTTCACAGTTTCAGAAGGGGTAGAAACTATCCGTAGCTATTTTACCAGTCTAAAGCCAAACAGCTAAGTTCGGATACAAATTTAGGATTGCAAGTTTGAAGTTTCAAATACATCCATGTGTGCAGCTTAGAAGCAGGCAAAAATTAATATTACTTTTAAGTTTTTTTAAGCCACAATTTTGGGGAAAATATATTTTGTAGTAGTGATTTTTGGGGGAGATTGTGGTTAAAAAGGTAGAAAAAGAGTTTGGATTTACATGTAAAATTATTTTATCAAGAGAACGTGTGGTTGAAAATGGGTTAAGGGAAAATGAATTTTTATAGAATGGGGCTCAAACAAGGGCTTGGTCATATGCATAAATTTTTCTCCGTGACATTTATGTTAAGCTCGGATACAAATTTGTATTTTTACATGCACCTTTAGTCTTGCACATCATCTTCTGAAGTTTTCTTTTCTTAAAAATTAGGAGGATTGATAGCTATTCAATAGCTAAAATTTGAAAATTATAGCGGGTTTAAGGTAATCTTGTCACATATCTCTTAACAAATTATTGCAGTTTTACATTCACATATCACAAGTGTTTTAGAGTCTTGCTAATAGTGTGAAAATTCTAGAAAAAGTGCATACCTGCATGATAACCAATACATCCATAGGGTCATTGTCCTCACAAAGAGTACGAGGAATGAAACCATAGTTATGGGGGTATACAACCGATGAGTAAAGAACACGATCAACCTGCAGTAGCGTAAGCATTTCAGAACTCACAACTATTTTATTACAGCCTGCATTAGAAATTTATCCAGCAGGTACCTTGATTAGACCAGTTTTCTTGTCAAGTTCATATTTCACCTTACTTCCCTTACCAATCTCAACCACCTGCAGGGATTAATTCAGTTTATTTAAGTTCTTTAAATATTAAATAGACCAATGTTCTCCACAACTTAACCAATCGAGAAGAGGGAAGACAAGCAGCAAACTCGTCTCAGCTCCAAAACTTGCGTAAAGGAAAGCATAAAGACAGCAGACTGTTATCAACTAATCCACTTTAGTAAAAGAAATTCAAATTAGAAGTCAAAATGAATGTAAATTACAAAATACTAATGAATCAGACCCGATAAAATCATTAACCAAAAGTTTTTTTTTTACCCCCTAAGAAGCAAGAAAATTTCGTTAACCAGAAAGAATATACAAGCATAAAGAAAATACCAAAACGCATTTGATCCATACTCAGTTGACATGTTTACATGGCCATGTGGAGCAGAGTCGGGTGGCTATTACCAATTTTAAGAATAAACTCTTGTAGAAGTACAAGATGCAATATCATTAAAAAATGTCACAAGTATTTTGGTGTAATTGCATCTGATCTTAAATGTGACAAGATAACTATTTCAAGCAAACTGCATTTATGTACTACAGCAATAGAGTGAACTGCATAGGTTTGATAACATTTTATCCAATAAATATCAATTTATGTAGCAATACCCAGCACCAATAACAGAGTAGACTAAAGATAGGTTAACAAAATTTCAAACTCGATATATATAATGGAGAGAAAATTTGAAAAATAGTCCATGGGCCTGTTCGAGTCCCATTTTTTAGGTAAAATGCATTTTGGAATAATAGATTGATGGAGAATGTGCGGTTAAAAATGAAGAAAATGTTTTTGGGTTGTGTGTAATATTATTTTATTGAAAAATGTGTGATTGAAAGAAAGAGAAAAAAATGTATTTTGAAAAAAATTGGAATCAAACAAGGTCTATAAAAGAGAAAAAAGGGGTTCACAGAGGAGGATCAAAATTATCATAGAATGCAATCAAAGCAAAAATAAAAAAAATAGAAGATTTGATCGAGTGAAATAGCAATACATTATTTCACGAGTCAGCTTGGGAAAAGCTTAGACAATTTAAGTCGGGCAAGTTACATGTTTCTCTTTTACTGAAGGGTTATAAGTTCAAGCCTAGAGGCAGACAGGCATGCTTATCAAATAAGATTATTTCATCTAAAATGTTATGAATTACCACCTGTTTTACTATAAGATGACATTCACATTTACTCAAGCTGAAATTATAGAATCATAGAGAATTTTTCAACATAAGTTAGTTTCTCTATTTTAGACCAACAATAAATAATGTAAAGAGCTAGAGAGAGTCAATATCCTTACACAGTTGAAAACTGTTGGGGCTCCAGGTCCTGCAAATAATAAAAAAGACGTATTAAGCTCTAGCACGCTAGTCTAGATATTACAATGAAGATGTAGTAATTGTTATTTACCTATCTCAAGATCATGCCAAGGATGGGCAGCAACTGTTTTCCTGCTCATGGAGGAGAGTATCCTTTCATTAAGAGGTGGATGTGATGACGTCTGAGGGTAGAGAGCTTTATTTGTTGTCTCAATAGTTGGTGTCATAACTCCAAGCTGCATATCAGGACATGGAATAAACGTGTCTCTCCATTTTAAAAATCACACAGGAATTGAAGGGATGGGGAATGAAGAATAAAAGATGTTCTTAGTAGATTAGGGCCCTGTTTGGGAGGGATTTAGATTTTTCTACAGTAAATCAATTCTCATTTTTAACCAAACATTCTTTAATAAAATAATATTTTCCATCACATCAATAATTTTTTCTTCTTTTTCAACCACACATTTCCCATAATATCACTATTTAAAATCAATTCTTCCCCCAAAAATACCTCCCAAACAAGCTCTAGGAATAAAGATGGTTTGATTTAGATCAGCTCATTTCAGTTTATTATAGTTTTCTAAAAAGAGGGTCCATGCAATGCAATACTTGAACTTGACTATTGATTACAAACACATGTTCTCCCTCTAACACGTGCTTCTCTTCTCTTCTTCTTTCTCCTTTCCCTTTCTTTTTTAATTCTAATTCTTTGTTCATAGAATTCTTCGTCATAAAGCCTCTTTCCTTTTCAAAACCATATGCACTTACTTGGCTAATCTAATGCTAATAAGAAAAATAGCATGTCACAAAAAAGGAGCCGATCAAACAAACTTCAGGTTTGCAGTGGAACAGGTGAAGTAAAAAAGAAGAGAACTATCTATAAAATAGGCATGCTCTATGGAGAAGAAGGTATAACTTGAAACTACAACCAGAACAAATTTCTACCCATACACACCAATATAGATTACAAAATCATCTACATATCGAATAAAGAGGTTTTCATTGTATAGTTTATGAAGCAGCAATAGGAAATTTTTGAAAATCCCTAAATTGAAATATTGAAATTGGTGGAAAAATCCTTAATTGCAGAGAATAGATGTAATTACTTAGATTTAGGTGATTTGATTGCATTACCATTTTCATTTATTACCTTATGTATACCATGACTTGAATATATAGCAGACCATATATGATATATTGTAAATTAATATACATATTGTGAATTAACATACAAGGATTAATAATTTTTCTCCTCAAAATCATGTGTGCAGAAGTTGACGCTTTGATAGAAAAAAATTTGAACCCCATCTACACACGAGGACGTGTTGAAAACAAAATTAAAATGAATAACATATGGCCTCACTTACATATTAAGTTTTTACATCAAGCAATTCACAAAATCCAATAATCATTATTTAACTTTGCAATCTAGATTGCGCATTTAATCTACTTTATATGATAAGCAGGCACAAGCACAAATTGTCTGTTTGGTGATATACACACAATGGGTATCTGTTTTAGTCAAAAGGAAGAATAGATTCAGAAGAAGAACAAGATATTCTAATAGCTGTAACAACACTATTGTTAATTATTTAACCTCATTCCAACACAAAATGAAATAAACCGTACAAGACCACAAGTCAAAAGGCTCATTATAATTTTTTTTAGGTTCATTTCTTGCAATAAAATATGAAAACTTGTACCATCAAAAATAAATAAATAAATTAGATATAATCAAAACATTTGTAAGTCTGCATAACATAAAATTAAATAATCAAATCCTAAACTTAACATAAATGCTTAGACTCGGACTTCGAGGAATATTTGTTATCAATTAAAATTTACAAAAGATTAGTAGCGGACTTGTGTCTTTGTTAAGTGAACCTTATCAAAGTCAAGTGAACCAAGTGTGAGCCTATGATAAAATAAGCAAACATTTGTGATGCGAAGCTTTATAATTAGTATCAAGTGTAAACAGCGAGCAAATGTACATAACTGGTGACTGGTTTCACCAGCTATTTCATATGAGCATAAATAGTTATCAAAGCACACGTGAATATGAATGTAAAGCATAACTTCATAACCAATGAACGAGGAACACGTGGACATGTGAATAAAAAGTAAAAAGCTAACAGAATCAGTTAGAAGCTCACTAATCAATGGTTGCCACATGGTATAAACACACAAAGGATGTAAAAATCTATAAATAGAGATAGTTGAGAAAGCATGAAAAATTAAGTATCCTCCTTTTAAATAGCCATTTTTGTTCTTGCTCCTGTTTGAGCATAGAATCAATGAGTTTATATGGAAAAAGTCCTGAAAAGGTAAGTGGATTTTGTTGATCATAATTTTCGACAACCATTTGGTTAGAAAAAGGGAAAAAAATGCTTACAATCGTCTGGGGAGAAAAATCTTGAAATCAAACAAACTATAAACACTTTTTTGTACAAAAATAGCAAACAACTAGCCATATGTTGCTATAAGACGTTATCATAAGCAATAAGTATTCGAACAATAAATCGAAAAAATGATGGTAAAAGCCTAAGACAGAGCACTCTTAAGGGAGAAGAAAACAGCTGCCATGATTTGCTCTCCAACCACAAATGGTCCACAAGGGGATCACACATATGAGCTGGAAACTAAAGATTATAAAATTCCACATATTTACAGTGTGCAAAGGGGACTATTTTTGCTAGTATAATTAAAAAAAAAAAAGTGTTATACATAGAAAGAACGCTCGTTTATGCAGGAGAACTTAAAATATCTATAAAAATCGAACAAAATAAGCCTAAATAAAAACAGAAATTCTGTAACTAAAGATGGTTGAGCATACATCGATCGAGAAGTGCTATAATTTCGTCCTGGTGCAACTAATGCTTGACGAGAACAAAAAATTCACTTAAGTATATACAAAATCGTCGGAAACAAAGAGTACATATGCAGAAAAGAGTGCGCAAAATAGCGTGAGACAGAAGGACAACAAAAATTCCAGAAAGATGAAATGAAACGTACCTAAAATGATTAAAATAGAGAAAACGGAGAGCGTCCGTCAACGGAAACAGAGTTCAGATCTCGAAGAGAAAATTCAACGTAAAGACGACGACAAGCTCAGTGTATTTATAGACGCGTATACATTTTTAGAGAGAGAGAGAGAGAGAAGTTGAGTAAAGGAAAAACTATCGTGAGTATAGGACTGTTTCAGTCTGTTTCAAGTCATCTCATTACTTGCCATTAAAGGAGGCTATCAATTATCGTATGAGCTGGGGAAAAAGGAGAAAACGAAATTGAATTTTCTTTCCAATTTCGAGAATGCAAAGTCACAGAAATTGCAAAGGTCAACAGATACGGGAGGATTAGAAGAGAATATCCCGAGCAAATGTCTGGAGTCTATAGTTGTGTTTGGTAGAGATTAAAATCGAATTAAAATTAAAAAATTAGTCGTTATTATTGACTTTTATTAGACGGGTGGGACCCAATAACGGTTGTATTTTCAATTTTAATTGGATTTTTAGTGTTACCAAACAAGCCCTATATAATGAAAGGAATAATAATTTCTTGAAAAACGTGTCATCAAAAATATGAAATTTTTTTGAGTTTATATATAATATTATTTTATTGAAAAATATGTAATTAATAAGAAAATAGAAAAATAAATTTTAATTTAACGAGGTCAAACATGAGCTAAATCAATTGAGAGATATGAGAAATAAGAAGGATTTACGAAAGCATGAGTGGCTTTCGTTCAGATGTCGATTTACGTGAGTGAGTAGAATTTAAAAGCTTTTTTTGATTCTCTACGGTTTTGTCAAGGTGAAAATGTCATCGTTTCCATTTTAGCTTTTTTCTATTTTGAGTCGGTTTAACAGTATTTTCCTCATTTTGCAATATTTTAGTTCAGTTTTGATTTGTTTTGTAATTTCCTAATTTATTCGAATTTGTTTACTCAATTATGCTATTCGCTTTGGTTATTATTCGTTTTGACTCTTTAAATATGCGTTAAGGATTTGAAAAACTCTGCAGTCGTTTTTTATTAACAATATTACATTTTTTTCGTTAATTAGTGGATTCAAATATTTCTCACATTGTTCAAAAATTCAAATAACAAGTTCGTGTGTTATGAATAAGTTCATTTTACCATTATCCACATTTTTTTCATGCGTCATCACTTATACTCTGTTTGACCCCATTTTGCCCTTTCAAGTCGCTTTCTCTAATTATTATTTTCTTTCAAACTTATTTCCAAATACACATTTCCCAAAATAAAATAAAATTCACACATAGTCCTAAAAACTTTCCTATATTTGGCCTTGGCCATATAACATCTCTATATTTTAATGACACATTCTCCGAATAAAACACCGTTACAAAATTTATTATTTTAAAAAAATTCAAATAGAGCATTTTGGGGAAAAAAATTGTAATAGTATTTTTATGTAGGACACGTGATTAAAAAATATGAAATTTTTTTGAGTTTACATGTAAATTTGTTTTATTAATAAAATGTGATTGAAAATGAATTTGTGAAAAAAAATATTTTTTTAGAGAACAAAGCTCGGCTTAATTTATAATGTTTGTGTTATATTAATTGCCAAACTTCCTCTCGTTTCATAAGAAACTATTTTGTTAGATTAAATCCATGTTTGATGGAGATTAAAAATTAGATTTTCAGTAAATTATGATAAATTGTAAATAAAATGTATTATTGAAAAACTATAATATACACCAAAAAAGTTGTTAAAATTAATTATTAACTTTGATTTAAATTAAAGTTTGTATTTTAATCCCTACACGTGCTAAACTTTATATATATTCTTTAGAAAAATAATACAAATTAGGCCCTTGTTTGATTCTCATTATTTAAAAAAAAAAAAAAAATTCTCTTTTTTTAACCATACATTTTTTAATAAAATAATATTACACGAAAACCCAAATTTTTTCTTATCTTTTAATCATATATCATCCGTCAATCTACTATTACAAAATACATTATTCTCTAAAAATGGGGCTCAAACCTGCTTTATGTATAAAATAAGTAAATTATTGTGATTAACATCTAAATTATGTCGAATAAGTAACATCAATAATTATGCCGAATAAGTAACATGTTTTATATTTTTATGCTTTATTTTGAGCAAATCAACTACAAATAATTGTACAAAATTTCATCTAGGCCCCCCCCNTAAAAAATTTATAATTATTAAGCCTCGGTTTCTTTTTCATTTTTCATCCATAAAAATGAAAA